AGAGCAAGTGCCGAATAGTGCCTACAGTCTGCCGTCTTTTACCAGTGAAGGCGGGGGTTTGACTCACATCTGTACGAACTAGCAATGGGCAGATGTGTAAGAAAATGAATGCTTGCCTAGTGGAGTAATCCAGCGGAGGAGTGGATTCTCAATATAGACCTTGTTATCATGATTTGTTTGAACCCTCTGAATATATTACTTATTCAAGACATTAGACATATTTTGTACTAAAGAGAGCTTTCCTTCAATAATGTTTTCTCTCCCTTTACTGTCCTTATCCCCAAGGCATACACATGCACACAGAGAAATGGATCCAGAGTAAGTTTTCAAAAGGAAAACATTTGCAGGTGCAGAATCAATGAGTGATGTCAGAATACTGTCATCCGTCCATTTATTTCTGAGAACTGACGAGTTTGACAGACACTCTGGACCCAGACACCTTTGCAGGGAGAAGCTTTTGAAACCTAAGGAAAGAGTAGAAACCAAAGTAAATGTAGTTAAGAACTTCTTTCTCAACCATCTTCAACACATGCAGAAAAACTTACAGACTCATTTGTGGTATCAGCCCTTCTCAGTTCCTCACAGAGAAACTCCCCAGGGTCAGAGGACCCAGGCTCCCAGGGAAAATCCTCTCATTTTGCTCTTGAGGTTGGGTTGCCAGATTTGGCAAACAAAAATGCAAGATGCTTAGTTAAATCTGAATTTCAGATAAATCACAATTTTTCATTTAGTATCGTATGTTTCACGCAATATTTTGGAGCATATTTAGTCGAAAACAATGATTTGTTGCTTATCCGACATTCAAATTTAACCGATCATCCTATATTTTATTTTATTGTTTTATTTTTTAAAAAGAGTTTATTTATTTTAGGGAGCGAGTGAGGGCGGGGCAGAGAATCTGCAGTGAGTGCAGACCCTGAGATCACCACCTGAGCCAAAACCAAGAGTCGGACACTCAGCTGACTGAGCCACCCAGGCGCCCCAGGAATCCTATATTTCATCTGGCAACCCTATATCATCAGGTGCCACCTGGAGGAAGTTGATTAAGTGCTCTTGGACACGTTAGCTCTGAAAGAATTAAAGACAAGTGGTGGCTAACAGGGTACATAACCCAGGAATCAGTCCTCAAGTCCCTGCAGCTTAGTGATTACTCCATTTCTGTGCAGATATAAGTTTTGTTGTCAACACATTCGTTCTGAGTATTTACTGAAGATCTATTATAGGGGGGAGGAGGTGAAGTGCTAAGGTATAGAGACAAGGAGGGTAGAATTCTTCAACAAACACCCTGGAGGTGAGCGTGTTAACTGGATAATCCTGGCATTAGAATGTAAAAACCAGCGAGGCCTTCTCTGCAGAGCAGACATTGTGAGTGGATGAAAAAGCACTGATTTTGTCACACACACACCAGCTGTGGGATTCTTTTCTTTCCTTGATTCTAAGCAAACATTTAGTAACCACAGACCTGGTAGCATATTAAAGAGGATTCTTTTATGCATGATATCAGCCAGTGGAAAACAAGCCCTTAAAAGAATTAAGGGCTTCCTGAGGGTTATCATGAGACATCAAGTCTGGAGACATGAGTCCACAGAGCTGGGAAAAGGTAAAGGGCAAAGGCAAGTGGGCATACTTCCCCATTTCACTGCATGCCTGGTAACTGCGGAGGGCGGGCAGGAGAGGTATGGACAATGGTTAGTGGGCAGACATCTTTCCACGGAAATTCAGATAACCATATGCTTGGCTCAGAAAGGGCTTTCTGGGCTATAATATCCATTCCCTGTTCATGTGGCAGAGTTGAGTGGCCACCTCTGCTGGATGCTGGGAAGTCACCGTGAGTAGACAGACCAGGTCCCTACCTCATGGAGCAGAGGATGTAACGGGAGAGGTGCACAGCAAGGGATCCAATCAATAAAATCTTGGGCTGTATTTTAAAGGATCTAAACAGGGAGATTGACAGAAAGTGATCTGAGGTGGGAAATGAGCAGAGAGAGGTTACTTTTTTATTTTACTTTTTAAACTTTAAGTTACAAACTTAATACATGCTCATTTTAATGCTCTACACTCAGATATTTATGAAGGTTAACCATCTCTCCTCATATAACCTTACCTCGTGGGGCTTTTGTTTCTAGATGGCAGACACCCTCTTTTTCCAAGTGTCTAATTTTTTTTCCTGTTTGGCTTACTTCTTTATTTATCTAGTACTAATTTGTTGTATAAAAGGCCAAGTGTCTAACAATACACTTAAATAGATATTGCCAGGAGAATTTTTCAAAAGATTATAGGCAGTGGCAAATCTTCCTCATCCTTACTAGTCCCGTGTATTACTAGTTTTGGTATCGCATTGTTACTGTTGTATACAAAGCTGAATTCACTACTAGAAAGGTTAACTTTTTGTATCCCCCTCATAAGCATTGGCCATTTGAATTCAATAAGAGATACAAAATATCCTGTTTAGTCATTTTTGTCTATTATATTGCGTCTTAAATTTCCTTTTGGCCTATGTGGTTTATGTCTTTTCTTATATGGTTTTGTGTTTCCTGCCTTGCTTGTTAACGACACCTCCCCCTCAAAACACACACACACACAACTGAGGTTAAAAGTGTTTCCTGAAATTTAATCTAGTGTTTGTGTTTTGTATTCAGACCTGTAGTTTGTCTGGGTAGGTCTATTTCAGAGGGATTGTCTGAAGAAGAGCTGAGGCCTGAAGGGGGAGAAGGAGCTTGCCAGAAGACGCGTCGGAGAATAGGTATTTTCAGAGAAAAAGAGCACCAATGAAAGTGTCTTGAAGCCGCAAAGAGCTTGGCAGGAGGAAAGAGACCAGTGTGGCTGGAACAGTGAGATGGAAGATGAAATCTGGGAGGTGGGCAGAAACCAGAGGTGGTCATGGGGGGCCCTTCAGGTCATGGTAGAGAAGTGTGGAGAATACATCAAGACACACGTTGGGGTGTAGGAGCCATGACCTACAGATGGTTGGGATGTGTAGAGATGAAGGGAAGGGAGCAAGGCTCACTCCTAAAATTTTGACTGGAGCAAATGGATTTAAGGCCGTGTCACTTCCTGAGTTGGAAGGACAGGAGGAAATAAGAGGCTTAGGGTACACAGTGTCAATTCGTGTATCTTAGACATATTCCGGTTGAGAAGAGAGTTCCAAGTGAAGGTGTTAAGGAGAAATGTGTATACACACACATCTGCACGTCAGGGGAGAGGTCAGGGCTGCAGATGTAAACTTGGAAGTCTACTAGCTAGACTTTGAAACTGCACTATTGATGAAATCATCAAGAATAGGAACTGGTACCAAGCTCCAAGGTTCTAAAATTTAGAGCACATGATTGTCCGGCCTTGTTGAGATCAATCTTTAATGCAAGGACAATTTGTCGTGGTGTCAGGTCAAGCCGAGTCCTTCCGGCTGTGGCTATCACCAAAGGTAGGAGTACACAGACTTGCTCACCTGCCATTGCCTGGTGTCCCTGACGATGAGGAACGTGCTCAAGGTTGAAGCTCCAACTGGCAGACAAACAACATATAGCAAAGAATCTGAAGCTTAGCACACTTGCTTCTTTCACAAGGAGCCCCAACTCTAGTGATGTGCATTAGTCCTAAGCCCTAAGGGATGCTGGTTCCTTCACCCTGCCCAGAGTACAACTCAAGCAAATAGCTGCAATGTAATGCAGTCCAATGAAGTCTATTTTTAAAGAGGACCACACCAATCCCATGCCTGCAACTTCACTTTATTTTCAAGTTCAGTATGCATGGCGAATCCTCAGTTAAATTCCTAACATCTTCTAATAGTACACACGCATTATATTTAACAGGAATATTTACATTAATAATTATAACTTAGGATCAAAAATGACAAACCCATAGGTGGTAATGCAATTGACTTGAAGATACATACAGTTTTTTAGAACTAATTATAAACTGCCTCATCCTCATAAAAAAAGAGTTCCAACGATACATAAAAAAATTGGCAAGTGACTGTACAGTGGACAGAGGAAAGGAAAACTGCATAGATGGTTTGGAAATGTAAAAAGGGATTTTCTATAATTGGTGATATTGTGTCATAATGATCTGCTTTGTTGAGAATGCCCTATATAACCGAATAATGATTCTGTCTTAGCCTCACACCTCAGTAAATCCCTGAGGTCGACTTCTGTCCTGGTACCCAGGTGCCCTCAGTAATTGGAAGGCCTGCGTTTATCATTCTCATGAGCTTGTCCCAGTTGAAATGGTCCTCCCCGGGACCCTTGAGGCATGGTGGATGGAGACCTGCTCAATGCCTGGAAACCAACTGAAGCTGCTGAGAATTTATTGCTCACTGGAGAATTTTCCAAAGATGTAACTAGGGCTTTTGGATATAAACAGTGATGTTTCAAACTAGAAGGAAAAGAAGCATGTTGGAGAGGGGGAGCTAGGACACATCTGTGAGGAGTGTCCTCTCGAGAGCCTTTGGGCAGTAGCTCTCAGGTAAGAGCTGGTCAGTTGGCACCTTCGGTATTTCTTTGAAGCTCTCCAAGTAAGATGCTAGTGCAAATTAGATTTTCAGAACGGATTTTCTACTGGAAAGAGAAGATGTTATTAGCAACCTGTTAGTCTGGTGTCTAATTAACGTCTCCTCTGGTAATAAACCAACCTCTAGAACAAGGGCTTCCTGATGGCCACTGACTCAGCTCAACATTTACACAATGCCCCATTTTCAAGTGTTTATGGTATGGTAGGGTCTATGCTGACTATTAACAATTTAACAAGATGGGTCTTTGATTTTAAGGAGGTCTTGTAGAAGATGAAACAAAATTAACACAATGTATTATTCACCAACCAAATTCAAGGTTTTGTTACTGGAGCCCAGAGGGGAGAACTCAAAGTCAAATCTTCTCTAACTCCTTTTTTTCTTTAAGATTTTATTTATTTATTCATGAAAGACACACACACACACAGAGATAGAGGCAGAGGGAGAAGCAGGCTCCCAAGGAGCAGGGAGCCCGACGCGGGACTCGGTCCCAGGACCCTGGGATCATGACCTGAGCCCAAGGCAGATGCTTAACGACTGAGCCACCCAGGCGTTCTCTAACCCCTTCTTCATTCAAGAGAAATTAGTTTATCAAGTCCTGTAGCTCTTTACCAAACCATCTCCTGATTTGTCCCCTTGTTTCAAAAGTGTATTTACCTCCCCCTGGGTTTACAGTGCTAACACAGGGCCAAGATTCACCTTCCTTCCTCCCTTTATGTGGATTCCAGGGAGAACACCTCTCCTCCTTCCTTTAAATTCTTCAGTTTAAGATGCAATTGGTAACGTTTTGGTATGTGGGCAAAGTTAACCCATTATGTCTTGAGTTTTTACTGGTTTCTTTGTTCTGACAATACTCTCTTAGGGAACAGTGTTCACAGAACAGCCAGAAGTCAAAAGTACTGGCTTCCTGACCTTGGGACTTAGACAAATTATTTATGCTCTGTTCCTGCTTCCTCCTCTTTAAAATCAGGAAACGGATAGCACTTACTGATGGACTGTTGGGTTTAAAGAATTTTCTAGAAGTAGGTAGAACTGTGTCTGACACAGTAATGCTTAGTGTTAGCCATTAACCTTGAGTGCCCGTGCTCCACCTTCAGAACCCACACTGCTGAGCCTACTCATTTCATCAGGACGTGAGCAGAGGTGAAGGAGTAATGAAGCAGGGGGAGGTTGAGCACCAAGCCCAAGGTCACATACCTGGTCAGTGCTGGAGCGGGATCCAAAGCAACCTTTGGAAGGTTAATGAAGAGGATTGCTAGGCTCATATAAAGCAATCGGACCTAAGGATCCAAGTTTTCCAGCATACAAGAAATTCTGGGTGGAAAGAACCCCGTCCCCTGAGCAGACCGGCCTGGAACGCTGTGAGGCCGGACCTCCCCCGGGTGAAGATTCTCAGTCCCGCTGCCCATTAGAATCGTTAGGAACTCCTCTGGAAACTCTAACATGTGGCCATCAAGGTGCTTGCTTCTATTTCCGCCACTTTGCCTTCACCACCTCCCAGACAGGAGCCACTTTTGTCCCTGCTGACAGCAAGGCCAAGGGAGGGGAGGCGGGGCTGGGGGAAGAGGGGAGGCGAGAGGGGGTGGAGGCTGCCTGCAGACCACTCCGCAAGCGTCAACATTTAGGCAGTGGGAAGCGCGTCCGCGAGAACCAGCTTCTGTTTATAGATTCTCTCCGCACCGCGCACGTTCGCATTTGATTGCTCCAAACGAACGATCCCAGAAAATGCTTCAGTGGGAGCTCAAGGAGCGTTTGAAAAAGAGGTTGTTTTTGCTTGGGCCGCCCGACTCTCTGCGCGCAGAGGAGTGGGCAAACCATGGCCCACTCATTCTCCGAAGCCTAAACCAAGTCATCCTGAAGAACCACTTGGGTGAGACTCGACCCTAGAAAGTAAGATCGTAGGGATTTTTGTACGGTCCAAGATTGCCACTTTTGGGGCTGGAGCAGCTAAGTTACCGGATCCTGAGTAGCAAATGCTCTGGGGAGGCCTGTGGCCATACTTTTATCTCGTTTCCGTGCTGCCTTAGGAATCTAGGCACGTGAACCTCTTGAAATGTATTAATTCCTGTTCGTTGAATGTCAGGCACTAATCTAGGTTAGGGGCTTTAAGTGGTCTAGTTGGCACAAAAATCTGATGACACTATCAAACTCCAGTTTACGGATGACAAAGTTAGAAACTAGCCCCAAAGATTAATTTGTAAACGGGAAGAAGCTGCAATTCGAATCTGAATTCAGTATTGTGAGCCACCTTATATTAACGCAGGGAAACCCTTTTCAGAGGCCCCTTTCCAATGCCTCTTTCAGGTGATACTCTGAAAACTAACGGGAGCAGAGACTAACTCCTTTACAGGATTAGTTAAGACCGGTTGCTTGCAGCCTAAGACGAGTCCAAGAGGGTTTGGTTAAGGATGTTACCATGTTACTCGGTTTCCCGAACATCCAAGTTTGCAAGACAAAGCTCAGAGACGGTGGAGTTCTGCTTTTAAGCCGTTTAAGTTGGGCCTAACTCGACCGCCTGGTATGCATGATTAGTAAGCACATGCAATTATTAGATCCTAATCAATTTGCGATTTCCCAGTAATGATCGAGAACACCCTCAGCCTCTTAAAGCCTGAAAACCCTCAGTATCCTGCCCTCGGAAAAAGTTAACTTACCTTTGCCTATTTATCACCTTAACCTAAGAGTAGTATTAGCTCTTCTACTGAATTGGTGGGGGGCTCTGAAAAGAGCCTTTGGGTTTGAAATCGCTTCCGGAAACTAAGATGCTTGCCGAATCACTTTCCCTTGGCCTTGTGGTGGCTCTCGGTCTTCTTGGGCAGCAGCACGGCCTGGATGTTGGGCAGGACGCCGCCCTGCGCGATGGTCACGCGGCCCAGCAGCTTGTTGAGCTCCTCGTCGTTGCGGATGGCCAGCTGCAGGTGGCGCGGGATGATACGCGTCTTCTTGTTGTCGCGCGCCGCGTTGCCCGCCAGCTCCAGGATCTCGGCCGTCAGGTACTCGAGCACGGCCGCCAGGTACACGGGCGCGCCGGCCCCGACCCGCTCGGCGTAGTTGCCCTTGCGGAGCAGGCGGTGGACGCGGCCCACCGGGAACTGCAAGCCAGCGCGCGAGGAGCGAGACTTGGCTTTGGCCCGAGCTTTGCCGCCCTGCTTGCCGCGTCCAGACATTGCAGGCACGGAATGGGAGCGCCAAAAGAAGAAAACCACTCGCTTGCCAAAACAGACCTAACAGTGAAGTAGACAGAAACATCGCTGCTTTTATAGGCATTTCCTGGGGAGTAAGTCCGGTTGTCTGATTGGCTAGTAACAAGACTCAGCCAAGTAGCCAATAGAAAAGGTTTATTTCCATACCTCATTTGCATAGTTCGGCCCATGGATGCCTTGCAGCTTGTCTTCCAATGAACTAAGACGCTGTCTGCATCCTTCATTAGCATAAAAGCCCTATAAGTAGCAGAGATTCGCTTCCTCCTTTCATTTCACTTCGTGTGTTCTGAGGTATTTAAAAATGCCTGAACCCGCCAAGTCGGCTCCGGCCCCGAAAAAAGGCTCCAAGAAGGCGGTGACCAAGGCGCAGAAGAAGGACGGCAAGAAGCGCAAGCGCAGCCGCAAGGAGAGCTACTCGGTGTACGTGTACAAGGTGCTGAAGCAGGTGCACCCCGACACCGGCATCTCGTCCAAGGCCATGGGCATCATGAACTCGTTCGTCAACGACATCTTCGAGCGCATCGCGGGCGAGGCGTCCCGCCTGGCGCATTACAACAAGCGCTCGACCATCACGTCCCGGGAGATCCAGACGGCCGTGCGCCTGCTGCTGCCCGGGGAGCTGGCCAAGCACGCCGTGTCCGAGGGCACCAAGGCCGTCACCAAGTACACCAGCTCCAAGTGAACTTACCAAGTAAGCCTCCTGTGATCCCAACCCCAAAGGCTCTTTTCAGAGCCACCCACATGTCCACTAAGAGAGCTGTAATACAATACTAGATTTTGCATGGTGGGGTTGGGGGCAAAGTATCGTACCTTAATTAGAAAGTCATTACATGGGGAGGAATTTCTAGCTTCTCTTAATGGTACTATGGCAGTACTGAGCATAAGTTAATGTTAATATCCTATTATTCTATGCTCTTGGGGGTCATCTCCGTGAAAATCCATGCAGTTTGGAGTCTCCATGCTGTGTGCCGTAATTGGTCTGATGCATCTGAGCATAGAAATATGTGATTTTTATAGGTGGCTTATGTTAAGCGGGGTTAGCATCGACCTACTGCTTTATTAGACTCCTCAACGTTGTTGGGTAACTTGTCTCCAAGGGAGGCTGAACTGAAAGCAAGTACTAGGGGTCTAGGGGTGGAGAAACGAGGTGGGAGAATAGGAAGGACGCCTTTGAACTTGGGCACTCAAAATCTCCGAATAGAGAACTTTCACTGAGCAGATATCGCAGGCTGGGAAACTACAGTTTAAGCACTTTACTCATGAACTTTGCTCCAGGCAAAGACTTTAAGGTGAAAGACGCACTTTCTCCCTTTGTCTTGCCCAGATCTAGGACACATTTCAGCACTTAGAGGAGTGAAGTTTGCTTTTTCCATTAAAAACAGGAAAATACAGGGAATAAATTTTGTTACAAAAGAACATAAAGACTTGTACAATTTTGCATAAAACATTGTGATGTAGGTTACCAAGTTACTTAACATAAGGTCCTCATGATCTTAAGCCTGCAGTTTTCATTAACACTTGGGAAGAATTCTAAAGGCCTGTCTGGCCCTAGACAGGCTTCCACTGGAGCACAGCTCCGGTTGCCTAACTTGGAAGCGTTTTGACCTAGTTAAGGTGGAAGTGCAAATGCGGGACAGTTGCAGGTGTTTGTCATACTAGCTCCTCAGCCAAACTCTTAAGGTTTCTGGAGTCCTTCAAAAACTGAAGTTGGATTTTTTTTTTATCCCTATGTGCCTAGTGAACCTGCTCAAGGACTGATGGTCCAATTCAGACTGACCTAACTGCCACCTAATCACGTTACCCCAAAAAATGTGCAGATTCACTATTACCAGGTTGACTACAAGGTTTTTGGTTTTTGTTTGGTTGTTTCCTTTTGTTTTCCTTCTCTTCTCCCCCTTTTCTCTCTTTTTTTTAAAGATTTTATTTATTTATTTATTTGACAGAAAGAAACACAGTGAGAGAGGGAACACAAGCAGGGGGAGTGGGAGAGGGAGAAGCCGACTTCCCGCTGATCAGGGAGCCCGATGCGGGGCTCGATCCCAGGACCCTGGGATCATGACCTGAGCCGAAGGCAGATGCTCAAGGACTGAGCCACCCAGATGCCCCTCCCCCTCTTCTCTTATATAAATTCTGGCTTGCCTCTGTCGGGTAGAATAATTCTATAGCTTGTTTCCCCTTCTATACAAGTGAAGGGCAGGCTAATCATTAACTACTTGGCCATTTATTTCTGAAGATTTCACCAAGACATTGTTCACCTAAGTCCTGCCATAGGAATCAATAGAAATGTGTGACCTGGAGAAGTTCCTTGTCCAGCCGGGGGCAGTTTGAGTTTTATGCTGATCTGCCTTTGGCTCTTGCATGCTGAAATGTATTCTTGCCCAAATTTGTTTCTTATTTTGGCTCTTATTCTGAGTGCACTCTATCGATTGGTGACACATTAAAATGGTTTTATGTCAGATCATGAAGCGATTACATGGTGCCCGAGGACAGACAATCTGAAGTCTACGGCATTCGCTTATCTTTTCTGGGTTGTTTGTGTTTGTCTGGGGATTCTGATATTCTCTGGCGTTTGAGAATACATGAACAGGAAGTTGGTGTTTTTCTTTCTGGCCTTTAATGTGATCCACTGGGTTTGGTGTTTGGTGTTTGTATGCCGTGGATTCCTGAAATTAAAGATAAGAGTCTCGTCCCTCCTTTCAAAATGCTCTTTTCTTGTGTTTACTTACTATGTGTCCAAATAGTTGTCAGTATCTGCAAAAATAGGATTCCTGCTTCAAAGATAATACAAATGTAAAATGGCAATCTGGTAATAACTTTTGACTTTAAGAAAGCGGTTAGGCCTTACAGGAGACTAATGACAGGAGAGAAAACCGGTTACCCAAATCTCCAGCATGCAGAGGCCTGCCTTTTGCTCTGCAGAAGTCTCTAAAGTGTATGCTTCAATAATTCCATGTCCCTTCAGGCTCTTTAAGTAAGGTTAGAGAGAAGAGAGAAGAAACATGGTATTATAAATCAGATTACTGACTCAGACAAAAAGAGAAGGCTTCCAATACCCTTATAAAACAAACATTTAATAGTTACTAAATCTTAATGTGTTTATTGTGAGAGCTAGGGCACTGGAAAGTAGAATTTCCTACAAAACTTAGAGAATTTACTCCTGTTCTCAACAATGGTGTTTGCTGAGAGATCTCTGATCTTCATTACATTTGTTTCTTTTTTTTTTTTTAAGATTTTTATTTATTTATTTAAGAGAGAGAACATGAGCAGGGGGGAAGGCAGAGGGAGAAGCAGACGTCCCGCGGAGCAGGAAGCCAGTCATCGCGGGGACTCCGTCCCAGGGCCCTGGGATCATGACCTGAGCGGGAGGCAGACGCTTAACCGACTGAGCCACCCAGGTGCCCAATTACATTTGTTTCTTAATTACTCTTTTTTTTTTCCTTAACTGACCAACCTACTTAAATCTGTGGCTCTAGTTTTGTCGTAGGAAAGACGTTAAGGTTCGAAGCCGACAGCCAAGTAAGAATTCTTGAGACGTCTTTGGTGCAAAAGGGTGGTTTTATTAAAGCACAGGGACAGAACCCATGGGCAGAAAGAGCTGAACTGGGGTCATGAGGAGTGGCCCATTGTATACTTTCAAGTTGGGAGGGCGTTAGGGATAGTGAGTCTCTAAGGAATTTTGGAAGCAAGGTTTCCAGAACCTTGAGGCGGCTAGCTGTTGTTGGGAAAAGGTCATTTATTACCGTCTAATAGAACCTTAGTCATGAGACCCTTCAGATGTATATCGGTGGGCCATGTGCTTGGGGGATGATGGCCAACACGTATCTTGCCGGGTAGAGATAAAGGAAGTTTCCAAAAGAATTTTTATATGTTAAAGTAGACTTACAGGACCCTGAGGTGGAGGGTTCCGGCTAGGATTGCCTTTGCCCTTAGCAAAGTATTAACATCAAGGCAGCTGAGGCCCCAGAGGAAGGTCTCTCTGCCTGTTTCAAGGACTTGTCAATGGGCTGTAGGTACTAAGGAAATTTAATAATTTTTCTTCTGCCTTTGTTTCCCACATCAGTTTTACCTACTTTAAATTTTATTCCTGTTTCACGATTAACTCCTCTAACTTGCACAATGATTGAGAATATTTTCTGTTTTATGAATACAAATAGTTTTGAGCAAGTCGTCCACTCTACCTCAGCAGGAAGCTAATAAGTTATAATGTAAACTTACATTTTAAATGGCTTCTGTAAAGACTAAAAAACACAATTTAAAGTAAAAGAAACTAAGACCTAGAGAGTATCATGCTAAGCGATGTAAGTCAGTCAGAGAAAGACATTTATCATATGATTTCACTCATATGTGGAATTTGAGAAACAAAACAAGGGATCATAGGTGAAAAACAGAGAGAGGAAAACCTCTTAACTCTAGAGAACAAACTGATGATCACCAGAGAGGAGCTGGGTGGGGGGGATGGGTTAAATCGGTGATGGGGATGAAGGAGGGCACTTGCTGTGATGAGCACTGTATGATGTATGGAAGGGTTGAATCACCATATTACACCCCTGAAACTAATATTACACTGTATGTTAATTAACTTGAATTTAAATAAAAACTTAAAAAAAAGAGAGAGAAACTCAAATCAAAATAAAACTTCTCCTGATGCTTTAAATGTTCTTCCTCTTTAAATTGTAACTCTGAGAAAACAGGAAAGTTTTAACTGTGAATTTAATTAGTGGTTTTAGTTAACAGGTTATAGGATAAGAAACAAAACAGAACTTCTATTATTTTTGAACAACTTAAAATTTTTAGTTCATGGTATGTAGTTTTATAGGAATAAACCACATTTTTTTTAGAGATTTTACTTATTTATTTGACAGAGAGAGACACAGCGAGAGAAGGAACACAAGCAGGGGGAGTGGGAGAGGGAGAAGCAGGCTTCCGGCAGAGCAAGGAGCCTGATGGCAGGACTCAATCCCAGGACCCTGGGATCATGACCTGAGCCGAAAGCAGACGCTTAACGACTGAGCCACCCAGGCGCCCCTTAACCACATATTTTTAATTAAGATAACTTTTTGGATAAATTCACTGGCTTACTAATCTTGTCTTAAAAATGGATTTATGTCTTTTTCTTTGTTGTTGTCATGATGTAAGAATAATGTTAGTACGATATTCTAGTTCACACAAGTCTGGGGTTCATTTTCTTAAAAAAAGAAGAAAACAACCCGAATTAATTTGAATTTACTAAACTTCTTCCACTAGGTTTACTGGTTAGAAGAGTTAAAATCATTTTATTTAAAATTATACTTCTGTAAATTACGCATTGAGCTAAATTAAATCACAATAGATAATGTCATTTTTAAAACAGTTTGATGTTTATAACGATGCATACAAATCACAAAACATGTGTCAACTTAAATGCTGAATTCATAATCTATAGATAACCCTAAGAATTTTGATGAATATTAAATTGAGTACATTAATGCCTAATCTTTGGATACCTGGACAATTTCTCAATTAGAGGGTGCAAAATATGCATCCCTAAAAACAATTTGATCTGTGCAAGGCTTATATTTTTACACAGTTTAGAATGATGCTAGATTAACAAGTTAGAGAACATGTAGATGCCTTAGGAGAATGGAATTAGATATGTTTGTTTTTGCCACTTTAAATGTGTAAAAGCGAATGTAATATGTATGCTTGGCCCAG